TTTTTCCAGAGCATTGTTTAATTGCGATTACGGGATCTTTTCAGGTAGTTTGGTGTTGCTCGCAGTTGGTCTCTTGACCTCTACTTTTCGTTTCATACCAAAGGCAACGCTGGCCGGGCTCATCATATGCGCCATGTACTACATGCTCGATTTTTCGACGTACGCCTTGTTGTGGCGTGCCAGAAGTAAGTCCCACGGATCTCGTCTCTTTTCTTTCGTTTTTTTTTCCTGGTTCTCTCCCTTGTTCCGATTCACGTGCACGCGAACCCCCTAACCCCGCGTCAGTCGTCAATGGTACCTGCCGGACAAAAGGGGTTGGCGTCAGCAAGAGCGCCACCCACGCTCGGGTGCACTCGCGATGTATTTGTTCTTGAAAAGCCCGCGCGAAACAATAATGTTCGAGCATGTTCTTAGTGGCATTTATTGTTAAGACGGAGCAGCGCCAATCTGTTCCCGTCGTTAACTTTGGTCGGGGGCGTCTTAACTTCATCTGCAATTTCGTGATAGATTCGGCATTGACACGCGCTGACTCGCAAATGCTCGATATCGTTCTACACGAAGCCATAATTAACTTCTAATGTATTGAATTAGAATATTAGAAATTTATTAATTAAAATTGAAGCCTTATTACTGAACCTATTATTATCAAAGAAGAGAAATCTTTGACAATAATATAATAGTATAACAATAAGCCTTTAATTTCAATTAATAATAAACATAATATCTCTTAATTCACATTATGTGAAGTTGTTTTCATTAGGAAAAAGCAGTTAAATCGAATATTATAATATACGTGGTTAAACAAATAGGTAGATGTAAAAGTTCGACTTAATTTTAAAAAATTAATAATAAAATATCTAATCTAAATTTTTTTAGAGATCGATTTCTTTGTGATGCTGTTGACGTTGGTCCCATGCGTCTTTCTTGGTTTGGAATACGGTATTTTAATTGGCATTGTTGTCAATCTTATAGCATTGTTATATTTCTCAGCGCGGCCTTCCGTTCAAACGAAAATTGAACAGGTAACAGATTCGTACATCTTTTGATCGAATAATTTTTAATATACTGCAATATACTGCAATTATCATTCTTTAGAAATGTTATTTACCAACTTTTTATTATAAAAAATTTTCTCACTATTCTCACTATCTCACTATTTATAAAATACGTAATTTTATTGAGTAATGTCAAAATGAATATTTTCTAAATAATAATTATTTTTTAATATATTCACAAAACAGCATTTTACAGACAGTTTGTTAATAATTTTAATAGTTAAAAATCAAATAACGACCGTTGTTCTCTTGATACGATCGTTAAAAAAGAAAATATATGCAACATATATTATCGAAGCGCATAAATGCGCTATTCTTTTTAATTGTTATCGCTATATATTCTCAGCTTATTCAATTTTACTGTTTAAACGTAATTAAAACTTGTCATCCTTTGTAAAATTATTCTGCCATTAATACATGAACCAATGAATACGTCTCTCGATACTTTTTTCTTTCCAATTTTTTTTTGTAGTAAACAAGTTCTTCTTTATTTTATCACATTTTAAAAATCACATTTTGTTGTCAACTATTTTTATATATAGTAAAACAATGTTATATTCTATTGAATGAATTATTGGGCATAATTCTTTTTTTTAATTTCTGGTTCAATAATTGAATAAATTTGTACGTGTTTAAATTCAAAATCTTTTTCGATCGCGAATACGCGGAGAATCGCTTTAAAAATATCCGTATTGAATGTATGTGTTTTCTCAATCATCTGGAATATTTTGTTACTGTACAATAGTTAACCATCGGTAATGAATGGATTTTTTTTTTATTTCGATCATAGATCGAAGGGGAAACTGTAATAGTCGTTATACCCGAAGAAGCACTAACTTTTCCAGCGGCAGAACGTCTGCGTGCTAATATAATGAAACTTTCCGGGGAAAGCGAATGCAATGTGATACTTGATTGCAAAAATCTAAAGAGGATCGATGTTACAGTTGCTAAGGTAAGCGTAATCGATGTCAAAGATATCATTGTAGGACGCATCTTCAGATAGACTTACAATTAGAAAAAAGAATACGAGAGAAATAAACACGAGAGAGTGATGATAATCGAATAATATCGATGACTCACGTATCTTTTATCTTGATTGGAACAATCTTGATTATAATTAATTGCTCTCAGTGTATATATATATATATATGAAAACATTAAATAAGTGACTCAAATAGAAAAATTGTAACGATGATGATATGTGTTGCCTACGTCTATATGCGTAAATAAGATTGTTTAAAGTTAACTTTGTTTCTAATATGTTTACATAGATTATATTATTTTACATTAAAAATTAAATTACTTTAGCTTTCTCTTATTGAGCTAAATTCATTTTTTAATATTTATAATTATACTAATCATTAACTATAGAAATAAATTAAAAAGATAGAAATAAATTAAAAAGAACTTTTAAAAGTACAAATCCGAAATATATATATTTTTTATATAATATTAATAATTAAGTAAATCTGAAATTAATGTTTAAAAAGTTTGATAAGAAAATTAACGAATAATTTTACCGGCAGACAATCCATTTGTTTATAAAATCGTTTTTGTAAATGAGATGACACGTGGCAAATGGATCGATCTGATTCAGTGCCACGTGGTTTATTCAGAAAACAGCACGTTGTGTTGAAATGTACGCTAACGTAATATTATCATTGTTCTCTCTTTACATTCTTATAATCGCAGGATATGTAGTACATGGGACATTACAAATTGGATTTCTCAGTGTAAATTTAATGAAAGACATTTGCACATTTTAGCATAGATTTAAAACAAGCAAAAAAATCATATATTAACTTTTTCGAAACTCGTGCTTGTTGATGTTAGCGTTGATCTAAATATTTCCTTCGAACTTAGCTTTTGAATATTCTTATTTTCATGGTCGTGTATTGCGAGAAAAACTTGCGCACTTCTCTCGCGTCGCGTTGTAATTAACATAAAATCAATCATCTTGCAGAACATGAAGCTTCTGGGAAAGGATCTTTCAATACGTGGACAAACAATTATCTGCAGTAATTGCTGCGAGAACGTAAACGCCACACTGAGAGTCGTAGCACCAGAGCTATTGAAAGTCAAGGAAGATAGAGGTAATCATATTTGAGGATCATTTGTCTCACACGTTCATAAACACGAATGCGACTGGATTTAGATAATTTTAGACTTTTTACTAAATACAAAAGTGTAATTGCGGATGCTGAATCAAATATCGTTCCTTCCTTAAAAACAATGAAGTTCGCGATTCGTTAAATTTGTTGCGGCGCACATATATTATTTATGTATTTAAAATAAAACAAATGTATGACGTACAATCCGAATAAAGGAAAAAGAAAAAGAGTGGAAAGAAAAGATACGATTAAATTTTTATTCTTATTTTTTTCACATGTAGTCTTATTATATTATTATATTATATTATTATATTATTATATTCGTCAATCTTTACTTTACAAACGCTTCTTCTTCTTTTCCTGATATTTCATGGATGTGAAATGAGATATATTCTTGTATACAAGATATTCTTTCAGTGCGAATGTCGCAGACGTTCTACGATCGCACGGAACTCACTTGACGAAACTGTCGTTTATTCGCGACGATTGTTCAATTAATTGCAACATTCGAATATAACTGAGGTTCTGCTTTAACCAACAATAAATATTTACGTAAATGTAATGGACAAACGTACGAATTGACTCATTGGAGATGCGCTGTAATTGCTTTTTCTCGCCGACTTCTTTATTGATTCTGACATGTATTCGCGCGAACACAATCATATTAAGTAATGCATTACGGTAACTCATATGGTATTCTTGCAGTATTTTGTTTCTGATTTTTATCACACATTTTTATCACACGAATAAAAAACGCAAAATTTACGCGAAATAACAGTTGCCCCATTGTGATGTCCTCGGTGTATTGACTGAATGAAAAGAAAAACTATTTCGAAAAAAAATAATGCATGTACGATATTAAATTGATTGATGAAAATAGATCTCGATCTTTTGTCTAACAATCATGTGTGATGAACGAGTATCTAGATACGAAAAAATGTCTAATTTAAAAGTGGAATTAATGACGCTTATTTACTATGCGTGTCGTACACGCGATGAAAACCGGAAGTGCCATATAATCGCAGTCGTCGTATTACTGATTACGTCGACTAACACGCGGGAGCGTAATTAACCTAATTTCTACTTTTTTATTTAAGCATGAGGAAATCTAAAGCAACAAAATAAAATAATATAATTCGTAATGATTTCACATTATTAAAAAGAATTTGTTTTACTGATAAGAATTAAATTAAATACAATACATAAGTTCGTCGATAGTATAATTTTAAATTAAGAATAATTAATAAAATAAGAATAACGCTGATCCAAGAAGATTGTCCGGATTTTACAATCCAGAAAAAATTTATGAGTTTTAAAATAATCTTCCTCATGAAGGAAAAATAGAAAGCATGCAACCTGATTTATCTTTCAGATAAATTATCTGCATGAATATAAATTATTTCCCTTCTCTCTAACTTTTTCTCTCCCCCGAGAATTTCTCTTACGTTCATTCACCCGACAATCTGATAATCATAATTTTTTTAGAACAACATTATTCATAGTCGTTAGAATTTTAAAATATGTATGTGTGTTTCATGGATGCTAGCTAAAAAACGACAATCTTCTCAGTTCAATCCTTTTATTTTTTGATGAAACAGTCTGTCCGTGATATTGGCTTCTCACGTGACAAATAAATCTTAAACGTGAGAGAATAAAATATAATTACACATAGTGTTATTCATGTTTCAAAAATATAAGAAAAATAATAAGTATTATAACAAAGATATTACAACAAAACGCATTTTTACATCCTGTGATATGTACACAGTGTCCTAGATTTAATCAAAGCAGAAAAATCTATTTTTCCATCGTTTAATTTCATTCCTATTATTTCCTATTTTATTTTCCTTTTTTATTTGGATTAATACAATTTGCAACGAGAATATTCTTAAACGAGTTCTTAGCTACTACGAACTTATGATCCTCGGAAATTCGGTGATGATTATTGATATGTCGCTCCATCGTTTCGTTTTCACGGAGAATCCAATAGCATATTTTACAGTATTTCTGGCAGTGAAATTTGACGTGAGTGGACAGAGAAAGTAAAGTAGCAATTGGTTCCTGACAGAGATTACACGCGTATTTTAAAGTACGTCGATTGGCAGCCTAAAAAGTTCGATGATAATTAAACTTTATTTTTTATTTTTTCAACAAGTCGATACATTTGCAAATCGATATTAAAAAGTAGAACAATATTTAGATGTAAGAGGGAACGATCGTTTAAAGACGATCATTTTAAGAAAAGTGAATATGAGAATATTAAGCGAAAATAATATGTGGGTGTCAATAACGTGGAACGATTCGTTGAACATATCGAGGAAAATTTTCGAAACGACCAAACATTTTAAAATGATGAAACTGCACACTCGTCACGCTTAGTGTTCCTATCCTATTAAGTACAAAATCAAATTACTAGAACAATAAGTATGACAAATGTGCAGTTTTATAACTTTAAAATATTTATTGATCGTTTCGGAAATTTTCCTCGATGTGTTTAACGAATCGTTCCGCGTCATTGACACCCACATATTATTTTCGCTTTTCCATGGAATCGTTTACAAGAAACGTTGAGAAGAAAGCAGTTCGGATACCCCCGCGGAGAATTCGAGAGAAAAAGTTGACCAAGATTGCTGGCTTTTAACGCCAAACGGCCAGATGAACTGAAGAAAATTGCAAAAAACGCGAATCAGGATACAGCTTAATGCTGTCTTTTAGTTTTTATCCCACATGACGTATTCGTCTTTTCCTTCGTTACATTATTGACTATTGATGTTAATCGTAGCTCGTTAAATATTTTAAATTGAATATTAAAAATGAATATAGGAAGAGATACTAAAATTTTACTAATAAGAAATATGTGATTCTTCCTTTCTTCTTCCTTCTGTATCATTCTGTATCGTTCAAATTTATTTTTTATAAAATCAAACTTATCAATCAATAATCAAACTTATTTTGAAATGTGGATAATAAAAAATGAAATACAGAACTTACAACGGTCGCATCACTGCTACCACCGTCGTCTATCATTTTATCGGAAATTACAGTGTAATGCGGCATTTTGGAATTGCCAATCTCTTTTCGTCGTAGTAGGATAATTGGTTGCTTCTGCATTTCAAACTGCAAATTACATTTCTTATTTCTTATCAATTTGGCTCGAAATACACTTATCGATAACACAAGTTTTCTTGAAATTATTATGTCTAAGAAATCTCAGAAAGTAACTCTCATCATTGAAAATGTGAAGATATACCTTTCTTGTTGACTGCACACATGTAGGGATGTTGTAAATAAAGTCTTTCTTCGTCATTTTCTCACTGATATTGCGATTACATCGTAGATTGTATTTAGAAGCATCCAACAATTTGGTAGTTGACGCTGCAACCTCTTGGCAAGCATTCATATTTGCATTTTATTAGTCTCGTTTTTCTCTATCCGACTATCGATTACTTCTTACAAAACAAAAGCTTTCCGCGCGAGAGATAACTGAAGATCAAGATTGTGTTTCAGAAGCAGCGTCCTGTTTATATCTTTTGAAATGTTTACCTTTAGAACTTTAAACACGTCTAGAAAACAAAGATTTTAATAATTTGCTTGAAACAAATTGGCGTAAAAGATACAGCTAAATTTCTTTTCTCATCGATAATATCCGAAAAACTTGTCGCTATTGATCATGAAATATAAGAAATATGCAGCGTACTGAATTAAATAAAGATCAGTTTATTATGAAATGTATTTTTATTTTTGTTATAATTATAATTACAGATGTTCCTTACAGCATAATATTTCTCGTCTCATGAGAATCACATCAATATAAGATTTAGCAAAACGCATTTTCTTATTTAATGTTACTCGTTACACGTTAATTCATTTAAAAATTATCGATTTTGTATTAAGTTATTTGATATACAAACAAAGAATAAGAGTAATCTAAATTTTTGTCTTAAATCTACTTCGTAACAACCTCTGTTACGTCAAAGGACAGCTCGTACCTTTAACAATTATATTGTTATCGCGATCTTTGAAAATGTTTTATGTACATTCTACCCTAGCCATTAATATTCAACCGCCGTTATATGTATATGTATATATGCATATATATAATATGTATATACTTATGTATATATACATATATATACATACATATATATAT